AACACCTGTATTCTTGCATCTGCTTTTGACTTTTTGTCATGTATGGAGCCAATTTCTTTTATGTATCTTCCTAATCAATTGGTTTGCTCTTGCAGTAGGAGTTATTTATTTATTTTTTTGATATTCAACCTTTTCCTCTCCCTTGCAGCTTGAGGAGTTTCGAAAAAACAGAGCCAGAAAGGCTGCATCAACTGGCCAATTACAGTCTAACAATAGTAGCAAAAATGGGAAACAACCAAAAGAAAGAGGTGTTATGCAACTTACTAATTCAGATGGATCTAATACATCCAGAAGGGAGGTTATTACTAACATTGAGCCTTTTAGTCTGGTTACAATCAGTGAAAGTAAAGCAATCAATTCTTTTGGCACTAGTGTTCCAGATCATGCTAAATTTCCTATTTCTGCCAATAATTATGGTGCAGCTTTTGCTAATCCAGTTCAGGAACCTGCAAAGGTTCGTGAGTTTGAAAATAATGATGGTTCAGATCATCATGGACCATTTTGTTTCAATTATGATCGCCTCAAAGACGATATGAGTGGTGACTTTGTTGCTTACACTGGAAGCCAAGGACTAACATCTGGGGTATATGGAATCCGAGATAGTGGAAGCCATGCTCACCAATTTAATTATTATTCTGTTGATGAAGCTAAGTTGAAGGAAAATGAGACCTCTTCAAAGGAAAATACAAGCAGAGATTCGGTTATACCCTTGGTTGGCATGTCAGTTAGTCTACCAGTAAAAAGTCAAATGAGATTTGGTAGCTCACCTTCCAGTGGCAATATGTCCACCTTATATGAAGGTAATATCATTTCCTTGAGTTTTGGTTTAGCTATTGCTCTTTTATGTCTTTATTTTCTACAAGGTAGTAAATATATAATTTCTTTCTATTTTAAATTTATTTTTTATTTCCTTCTATTTTAAATATATTAAGAAAGGACCCAACTATTTTTGGTTTTTGTTGTATGATAGCTTCTATTCATTATAGTAACAACTTTAAAGAGCTGCTTTCTGAAGGTGGACCCTATATGAATGCTAGTCAGGATTTTAATGGCCTCATGATTGTTGATATGGGGGAAAGGAAAGCTTAATAGCTCTTCTAATCAATGTCCTCTTGCAGACAATGCACCTTGGCAGGAAGCAGAATCTCTGTCTACAAATCTTCGTTTAGATCTCAAAAGTTCCTCTGATTATATGCCTCTATATGCACAAACATTTGGAACTGGAAGTGAACGATCCCGTCCATCTTTCCTTGATTCTATCAATGTAGCTGGGGTCTCTTCAGTTTCTTACTTTCCGTTTACTGAATCAGAAAAACACAAGCCATTTATGTCTAAAAGTTCAAAAATCCAGAGTGTGGATATTCTAGCATCATCTTCTCAGCAGCAATTTCCAGAGAGCGAAACTTTGAGACCTTTCTCCAACTTCAGATTACCAAATCGGCCCAGAAGAGATGAACTTTCTATGAATTCAGTTTCTGTTGGTAATGAACAGGAAGTTTTGAGACAGAAGTTGAAGGAAAATAGCATAGAAAGGAAGAATGAGTTTTCTTCATTGAAACAGGATGAAGAAATTGCTGCTTTAGAACAGGTTCTTATTATTTAATTTTCCTCGTCCCCACTTTGTGATTTTCATATTCACATGTCTGTAAAATACAGCATCTGTATTTATTTTTTTTTGGAAATGGAGATGATTTGCCATGAATGCCAGAATTGTCTGATATACTGCTAATGGTGATTCTTCTTTATTTTTGAAGATAAATAAAAAGAAAATTTATTAGAGAAAGAGCAAATAACAAATACACTTAGGTTATGGGAAACCACCCAAAAGGAAATAAGACTCAACAACAACCCTCCCAAACCCTACAAACTAAAAAAGATCTTTCCCAACCCTTACAAGAAAAAGACTCGAATAAAAACAAAGCATCAAATCCCAGACAACAACCCCCAGGAACCCAAACCAGAATTGAAGACTAACAACTTTCAGCAGACAGCTCTGCCCCATTAAAGCTTTATCTTTTTTGAAAGATCTCTCTTCCAATTCCGGGAACACTTTTCTTGCAAATTCTTCCCCTCTGAAAAAGGCTAACCCCAAAATCTTGGTGACCTGAACTTCCACTTCCACTATTTTTTTTCTGACTCAGCAATTCTTTCACCTTTCCTCACTCTATCAAACATCACCTCCTCAGCATTCTCCTTCCCTTCTTTATTCTCTTCAGCTAACTCTATCTTATCCCCTGGAAAGACTTCTTTTTGATTAATTGAAACAGATCCCAAAACCAGTGATGCAAATGGATAGGATCGGATTCGAATCAGGGTATATTCGAATCCGATCCGACACTGTTCATGTCGGATCCGATCCAATCCGAAGATCCGATCGGATCTGATAGGACTCGATCTGAATTCAAATCCTATCGGATTGGATCTGATTTGTTTTATTTAAAAATCAATAAATTATTAAAAGAAAAAAAATAAAATATACCAATTTAAATAAAGAAAAAACAAAAAATACAAGTATTTTTTAATTATTTTCGTCATATATATACATGATTTTTATAAAAAAATAAATAATATAACAAATTTATAAAATACAATATAAATAAATAAATAACATATATATATGTATTATATATATATTTATATTTATAAATATATTACACATCGGATCGGATGGGGGTGGGGGTGGGGGGGGTTGATCCGAATTCGATCAAATAGGATCGGATCGGATAATGATCCGATCCATTTGCACCCCTACCCAAAACCCTCCTATCCAAGCCTTCTTTCAAAGGGTTCGATTCATAGTTGACCTTTGTTAAATTCTGAATGCTAGACTTAATTTTTGTCCCCTTCCTTGTAAATTCTCTTGAATCTGCTAAAAGGACTGTCCCTAACAAGCCATTCCTTCAAATAGTGAAATACTTTGGTCTCATGAACTAACTGCCCATTGTCCTATGAAAACTTGTGAAATTGAAGCCAAGCCCCTCAAATCATCCTCCTTGCACACAGGCTCATGGTTCAAGGGCCTCGATCCTCCAATTATTTCCTAACCCATCTCATTGCTACCATTCTCACAAGCAAACAGATTATTCTTCGAAGAAATGGAACAAGAAACATTTTCCATATCACCTTCCATTGCTGAATCTTCTCCTGCCTAGCCATCTCTGAATGCTCCTTCGAAACCCGATCTTCACTAAAAATAAGATGTTGATCCACTACATCTTCATCTATTGAAATCTGATCACCAGTAAGAACTTCACCTTCCCTTACCTCATCTGAAATAGGAATTAAATCTTTCATTGTTCACAACTTCACCACCTTGGAGACTTTGAGCTTGACTGGGTTGCCCTGCTCCTTAAAACCCTTGATCTTGTTTGTTTGGATCCCTCTAAACCTGATGCTCATGTTTGGACTCCTAACCCTATGTGAATTTTCTCTTATGCATCCTTATTTTCTTGTGCTCTAATCCTAACCCTTTTTCTTTTCATTGTAAGGAAATTTGGTCTAAACCTGTTAGAATGCTAGAGTGTGTTCGGCTGATAGGGTCTCCTATTAGCCCATTCTTATGTTAATTTTATCTTGTAACTGGGCCTTTGCTAATGGGCCTAATCCTGTTTATGTTTTAAGTATTCTGGTTGTCCCATTACTAATCAGGGGTATACCAGTAATTTTATTGTACTTTGTACTTCAMTTATATTTAAATAAAGGCCTAGTCGACTGCTAACATAGTTCGACATTCTCTGCATCTAAGAAGTTCATCMTCTTCTTTACTACTTCGAGTTCAGCTTCTTAGTTTACAAAACCCGTCCCCCCTAAGGTGAGAGCCTTTTGCTGGGAAGTCTCTGTTTGTTGGAATACAGTTGCCGAAGGAGAAGAGAAGAAGAAGAAGGAGAGGAAGATTTGAGAATGGTGGCAATGACTCTCTCAGCTGGCCCTGCTCTATTATAAATAAGAGTATTACATAAATAGACTAGAATGCCCCTGATTAGTGATGGGACACCTAGACAAATAAAACACTAAATTAGATTAGGCCCAATAACTAAGGCCCAACAACTAATGACTTAAGACCCAACGAAGATAAGCATACATATTAAGACAGCCGAACCAACACTCCCCCTCAAGCTAAGCATGGATATTAATCATGTTTAGCTTGCCAAGTAAGTCCAAGAATTTTATTGAAGCTAGCCCTTTAGTTAAAACATTTGCGATCTGCATCTCGGAGGGAGTATAAGGAATGCAGGGTTTCCTTGAGACTATTCTTTTTCTGACAAAGTGGCGGTCTATCTCAATATGTTTCGTTCTATCATGTTGCACTGGGTTATTTGCAATGTTGATGGCAGCCTTGTTGTCACAGTACAACCTGAGAGGGTACTCGATCCTTATTCCAAGTTCACCAAGAAGGATCTTAAGCCACAGAAATTCAACAAGCCATAGCTCGATATTTAGCCTCTGCACTTGATCTAGCAACCACATTTTTTTTTACTCCTCCATGTAACTAGATTTCCTCCAACAAAGGTGTAGTACCTGGAAATGGACTTCCTGTCCCCAACAGAACCAGCCCAATCTGCATTAGTATATGCTTCAACTTCAATTTTATTGTGTTTTCTGAACAGAATCCCTTTCCCCGGGCAAGTCTTCAAATATCTGAGAATTCTTTCCACAACTCTCATGTGAGGGATTTTAGGAGAGTACATGAACTGACTGACAACATGTACAGCATAAGCAATATCAGGGCGAGTGAGGGACAGATAAATCAATTTCCCCACCAGCTTTTGGTATCTCTCTTTATCAAGGTAGTCCTCTCCTACTGATTCCTATGGACCATAGTTCTGCTCTATTGGAGTATCTGCTGGCTTATACCCCATCATACCTGTCTCTTGTAGAAGATCAAGGACATGTTTCCGCTGACATATATAGATGCCCTCTTTTGACCTAGCAACTTCAATCCCAAGGAAGTATCTCAGCTGGCCCCGGTCTTTGATCTCAAATTCAGCAACCTAAAACTCCTTTAGTCTTTTAATTTCTTCCTGATCATCCCCTGTAATCACCATATCATCCACATAGACAATAAGTGTTGTAAGTTTGCCATTTTTCTTCCTTATGAACAAGGTATGATCTGCCCCACTTTGAGTGTAACCCCCTTTCTTCATGGCCCCACAAAGCTTCTCAAACCAAGCTCGAGGAGACTGCTTAAG